TTAGTCAGTGCTCTCACAAAGGAAAGAATAAGGAACCTCCCCAAGGTAAAATTATTTTTTACCATATACTAATAATAGATTTTACTGTCTTTTTCACATGCTTCCCTCCGTCTAAACATTTTGTCATTGTGTTTGCCTTTTTGCATTTATATAAAATGTTGTGGTTTTCTTTTTTTGTTCTTTATGTCACTTTTTTCTCTACCTGTAACACAGCATTCAAAAGGAAAAATATTTGCCTCCATAAAGTACTAGTTCCTTTCCTAACTCCAGAGTAGTATAGATAACAGAGATAGAAGATTCTATAGTTATGGGAACCATAGGTGTGAGAACATTGATGAAGGTGCTTTTGTGCTTTAATGTTTGTTTTATTTCCTTAATGTAATTTGTTGGTCTCTCAATTCTTCATATCTTCATGAACTTGGGATCGAAGGACTCAGCAAAAACACATATGATCTTCAGTAATGTGAACTATATTGCCACTAGCATTGCCTTGTTTATATTAGTGTAGGCCAATAAAGTGATGAATGCTTATTTGAGAATAGGTGCCTTCTATGGAAAAAAAATAAAGGTCTTATAAGTTTTAGAATGAATTATAGTGGAGTCAGATCCTTAGTGGGAGCTCATTTCTATTATCAACACAGACTCTCATATATTAAATGCAAGTATGACATATTTTGATCTTTCATAAATATGTACCTTATGGTACATACTTATGACTTTAAAATAGAGGGGTATCACTGTCTAAAAGTTCAAGTCACTCATGTCCACAGTTCTCTCTCAACTTCATTGGAATTTTTAAAAATATTCATTATGTATATTTTACATTTAAAGTTGTAACAGGTTGTAGGCTGCCTTCATTAATACTGATAACATACTGTTCTACATTTATATTTTTAAAAATTGAAAATAAAGATGAAAATGAGATCCTTCTGCAATAAACATCTCAAATGCACTTGGTATGTAGTCCAAGGGCAAAGTAGTGGGAGCCTCTGCCCAGTAAGGAGGAATATTTTGTCGCCGTCATTGCTGCTGATAAAAGTAGACTGACTTTTCATGGTTTTTATTGTTTTTAAATTCACTACAAACAATGCACCCCTTATTGCCTACACCAGGGATGACTGTTCCCAATCCTTGCTCTTGGAATACACTGCATACAAGGCACCAAATACTGGAATGGTGTTTGATTTTTATAATGGCCTTCATGTTGACCCGAACAAGACTCCAACATGAAGGCAATTAGAATGAGGGAAATTATAAAAAGAAATCTCAGAAAAATTTGATGTTATAATGTTGTCTTTTGATATTTTGCCTAGTTCTCATTTGTCCCTTTTTATATTTTTTTCTTCTAGGAATTTCCACAGTGAGTCAACAGAATTGCTACATTTGAAATGCTAGCAGTGTAATTTGCTTAAACTCAACTATATTACATTAGACAGTATTATGTTCTGCTGGTTAATTATAACCTACAATTCTATTGAGTTATCTCTGCAGTACTAGAAGAAAAAAATACAACAATCTCACAGATTGTTTTAATAATTTGCAAGATCCCTACATGCCCAAGGAACAAACCATTCATAACAGAAAAGAGCAGAAAATTAGATATT